AAAATTTTTGATATCAAAAAAGTTCTCTTCTACAGTTTTTTTATGAAAACACACAGAGGCAATGATGTTTTTTGTCATTAACAGATAGTTACAGGTGATATGCCTTGTCAATAATAACAATAATTTGTCAAACTGTGACTTACTTTGAATTTTCTTTCACGAATTTGTGGATATGCGATTAGTTCAGGGGAAATTTTACAGTAACATAGCAGAAGCTGAAAGGTAGTGGACGACCATCCATTTTCGGGTTCCAGACACAGAGGAACAAGTATTGGACATAATCGAATCAGGGCCTTCCAGGGGCACTCAGAGCGAAATAACTGACACTTTCCCGAGCACCAAATTAATACCGAGGAAGGGCAACATTCCTACCACGTAGATACAAATGAGCAGGAGTTAATTAACTGAATACGAGAAGCTGCTTGTTAAGAGTGGATAAAAAAGAACTAGCTTGTTTGGAATTAACCATTCAAATGTTTGGTGTTGTATGGTTTATTTTTAAACACCAATAGGTTGACATTTCGTCAACAAATCTTGTTGAATTTACCGTATATCCTTGCCTTATTGTGAGTCTGTGTAACTCCATGGTTACCGGAGTTTTAAATAATTACGAAGCAACAGGTATTTGCGCAATGTTAATTAGGCAGATTACCTTGAAAAACATTGCTGCCGTATTTCTGCTATAGTTTTTTGCAAATTTCTCAGTTTTTAATGACAATTAATTTATTTTACTATTTTTCCTGTACTCCTATAACAGCGCCAGACAACACCTCCAGAGGAGTGAATCACCCTGTATACTTGATTGTAGATATAATTTGTTTCTATTTCTGCAAACATCAAAGAACGTTTAAATTCTTGAAGTATAGAGCTAATTACTTCCTAAATATTGATGATTGGTTAACTACATCTTTCAAATAAGGAGTGTTTACTGTACAAGCAGATTTACGATCTTCATTATGTTGAATTTTTTGCAAAGCGCAATTCAACTTTTGTCAACTGACAAAAAGAGTTTAATTTGAAGATACTTGCTTGAAGGTTATTTTGGTTCTTATATAAGTTTAAATGAATTGTTCCCATCTTTAATTATTTCTTAATTAAAAATATACCTACTCTTAATAAACGTTTCATATTGTCCATGTATTTTATTTTAAAAAATCCTTTTTTTTCGAAAATAATCGACTGTTAAAACATCAGTAGGAACTTGATCATTTAGTTGAAATAATTCAAGTGTGCCATAATTTTCATAAATTTTCCGTATAACTTTATGTTAAACGTTTAAATTGGAAGGGACGTCATTTGAAAGTAT